CCCTGCAGAGGTATATGCTCTTGATTGTGATGAGGATCCAAGACAAATCAAAAAGAGGTATATGTAGGTATCCTCTTAATGCTCCATTTTGAGCTAATAGAGTTCACCCTTTGTCGAAAAATCGAAAAAAGGTGTGTCAAGCAACACATAACATTGACATGAGCCAATCATCATGGTTGGTGCCCGTCCGGCTCGAGGCCGTCCGGCAAAGTCAACCTTAGGCATCCCATCGAAACTGCACGGATGAGACGGCCATGCTCTACAGTGGAGCACTATTGATGAGCAGCAGACATTGTTCGTACGTCACATGACACCTCAAAATAGTGTATAGTTGGCCATGTGGGCCACCCCTTGTCCCCTGGGCACCCCTTTATAAGGTGCACCAGGGAGGAGCTCCACCCAATTCCCTCTCACACTCTCATTCCCACACACACTCAAGGAGAAGAGAAGAACTCAGAGCCTCCTTTTTCCTCCTCCAAACAGCTCTAGGAGCAACCATGTGCCACCATATACACTCCATATACATCAGACATTTAGGAGTAGGGGTGTTACCTCCACACGAGGGCCTCGAACTTGGATAAACCACCGTGCGTTGTTGCCTAATCCTGTCCCGGATCTCCACTGTAGCCTTGCTCTCACCTCTTTTAGCCATCCCATGGCATCTACGGTGAGAATACCACGACATACATGGACTTTTTCCAAATCCGTTAACCTTTTTCAATTTTATGTTTTTTAAAAAAAAATGGTGATTTTTTTCACAATCTATGCAAATTTTCAAATGTCATGAACTTTTTTTAATTTTGTGAAATTCGTGAGCTTATTATAGTGTTTTGAACTTTTCAATTCATGCACTTTCTAAATTTGTGATTTTTTTAATATTCGCAAACTTTTTTCGAATCCAAGATTTTTCAAGATCGTCATTTTATAAATCCATGAACTGTTTTTCAGATCCAAAAACTGTTTTCAAACCACGAAAATTTCTAGATTCACAAACCATTTTTAAACCGGTAGAACTGTTTTGATTTGTCTGTTTTTTTAATTCGTAAACTCGAAGATAAAGGAAGCAGAAAACTCGAGCACAAAAAAAAGTAGAGCAAACGACACCTTTTTTTAGGGGTGTGCGAGTGGCCTACCTAAGAGCATCTTCAATAGGTGGTCCAAATTTTGACGGTCCAAAATCGGAGATGTAAAATTTGAACCGCTAGTGCGTTTTGGAGTTTTGAAAAAAGGCCAACTCCAATAGATGGTCCAAATTCATGGTCCAAAAGAGTAACTCCAATAGATGGTCCAAATTTATGGTCCAAAACCGTCCAGCAGCCGCGCGGCTGCTGTTTAGCCGCTGTCCAGCCATTGTACAGCCGCACATATTGCATAAAATTGTTGGGGAACGCAGTAGAATTTTAAAATTTTCTACGCATCACCAAGATCAATCTATGGAGTCATCTAGCAACGAGGGAGAGAGGAGTGCATCTACATACCCTTGTAGATCGCGTGCGGAAGCGTTCAAAAGAACAGAGTTGATGGAGTCGTACTCGACGTGATCCAAATCACCGATGACCAAGTGCCGAACGGACGGCACCTCCGCGTTCAACACACGTACGGTTGGGAAGACGTCTCCTCCAACTTGATCCAGCAAGGGGGAAGGAGAGGTTGATGAAGATCCAGCAGCACGATGGCGTGGTGGTGGAAGCAACGGTGATCTCGACAGGGCTTCGCCAAGCGCAGGGAGACGGAGGAGTGTCACGGGAGGGAGAGGGAGAGGCCAGGGGCTTGGGTGCGGCTGCCCTCCCTCCCCCCACTATATATAGGGTGCCTAGGGGAGAGCGCCGGCCCTAGGAGATCCAATCTCCTAGGGGGGCGGCGGCCAAGGGGGTGCCTTGCCCCCCAAGACAAGGATGGCGCCCCACCCCTAGGGTTTCCAACCCTAGGCACAGGGGGAGGCCCAAGGGGGACACACCAGCCCACTAGGGGCTGGTTTCCCTCCCACTTCAGCCCATGGGGCCCTCCGGGATAGGTGGCCCCATCCGGTGGACCCCCGGGACCCTTCCGGTGGTCCCGGTACAATACCGATTACCCCCAAAACTTTCCCGATGGCCGAAACTTGACTTCCTATATATAAAACTTCACCTCCGGACCATTTCGGAACTCCTCGTGACGTCCGGGATCTCATCCGAGACTCCGAACAACTTTGGGGTTACCGTATGCTAATATCTCTACAACCCTAGCGTCACCAAACCTTAATGTGCAGACCCTACGGGTTCGGGAGACATGCAGACATGACCGAGACGCTTCTCTGGTCAATAACCAACAGCGGGAGCTGGATACCCATGTTGGCTCCCACATGCTCCACGATGATCTCATCGGATGAACCACGATGTCGAGGATTCAATCAATTCGTATACAATTCCCTTTGTCAATCGATACGTTACTTGCCCGAGACTCGATCGTTGGTATCCCAATACCTAGTTCAATCTCGTTACCGGAAAGTCACTTTACTCGTGCCGTAATGCATGATCCCGTGATCAACCATTTGGTCACATTGAGCTCATTATGATGATGCATTACCGAGTGGGCCCAGAGATACCTCTCCGTCATACGGAGTGACAAATCCCAGTCTCGATTCGCGCCAACCCAACAGATACTTTCGGAGATACCTGTAATGTACCTTTATAGTCACCCAGTTACTTGTGACGTTTGGCACACCCAAGGCACTCCTACGGTATCCGGGAGTTGCACAATCTCATGGTCTAAGGAAATGATACTTGACATTCAGAAAAGCTACAGCAAACGAACTACACGATCTTTGAGCTAAGCTTAGGATTGGGTCTTGTCCATCACATCATTCTCCTAATGATGTGATCCCGTTATCAATGACATCCAATGTCCATAGTCAGGAAACCATGACTATCTTTTGATCAACGAGCTAGTCTACTAGAGGCTCACTAGGGACGTGTTGTGGTCTATGTATTCACACATGTATTACAATTTTCGAATAACACAATTATAGCATGAATAATAGACAATTATCATGAACAAAGAAATATAATAATAACCATTTTATTATTGCCTCTAGGGCATATTTTCAACAAAAACATGTTTTAAAACAACATAAAAAATCTCATGTCCACAACATCAAATTATTACATAGTTCTTCAGAACCAGGAGATGAAATGCAACACAAATACAACATAGTTTTGCACAATACAACATAGTTTTGAACAAACAAATAATGAATCTATGCGGCTCCGGACGGCGGCGGTGATAACAAAAGAGGTTGGAGGCCGGCCAAGAGGAACTCAGCGGGCGGCGAAGACAAATTCGGCAGTCGGGCAAAGGGATTGGTGCGGCGGTCGTTGTGCGGCCGGTGCAACGTCCGTGGACAAGCTCACGGCCGGCGGGAGCAGGTCGGCGGCAGCCTGAGACCCTGCGGAGGTCTACCGCGGCAGCCGGACCGCCGGAGGGGCCGAATCCCACGTCGGCTGCCTCCCGATTCGGCGTGTCCGGGCGGCAGCGGGGTGGCGAGGGGGGCGGAGGGCGGCGGCGACGGGGATGTGGGGTGGTGACGCGGGCGACGACGAGGTTTTGGGCGGTCGCGACGGCGGATTCCGGCAGGCGGGTCACGAGCGGGCGGACGGGCGCGAGCAGGGACGGAAATGAAGTGACGGTTGGGCGTTCGCAAGCGGCGGCTGGTTTTGGACCAGATGCATCTTGTGATGTATATTTGCATCGCGAGATGTTGAATTTTACATCATGAGGAGGCCGCGGTTTAATTTCTTTTGCACATGGACCATCTGTTGAAGCAGCCTTTTTTGCTCTAGACGGTCCAAAAATGAGGTATTTTTATATTTAGACCATCTATTGAAAATGCTCTAAGAGCGGGAGAAAAGACGAGCAGACAAGCGAAGGGAGCACTAAATGGGCCAATGCCGGGCCAATGCCGGGCCAATGCCGAGAAGCACTCGTAGCGTGGCGCAACAGGCGCCGAAGAGGAGCTCTCCGGTTCAACAAGTGTTCGCACCTTCACCTAAAAAAACAAAAACAAAAACTAGTGCTCGCTCCCCGTGACTAGGGCTGCAAGCAGCATCTCGATTTATCCCACGAAATGAAATTAATCATGTAGCTCGTGCGAACATTTTTGCACAGCATTTGGTTAAAATCAACATCATATTTATACTAATGGTATTGTCCGCTATCCCGTCCGTTTTGTACCCTACTCAATAATGCTAAATATACAAAGAGTTACACGCAATTACACACTGACTAGATTTTTTTTCATCTACTAACCAATCACAAACTTGTCTCCCTCTGATTTTTAGGGGGTGGACCGCCTTCCCATTTATTGATCAATTAAATTAACTTTTTTTGTAAAAGGTTGTAACTTGTTTGTACGTGTAGCATTACTCGTACCCTACCCCTGACTCGTATTCCAGTTCTTGAGCTGGTGGTCGTGCCATTTTCCGTGGGCGGTTAAGTTCCTCGCTCTCCAACCTACACCTACCTCACTCACCCGTACCAAAACAAGCGCGATCAATCGGCTCAACCACACAAGAACCGAACACCAGCAGCCTCACCGTCAAACGTCGCCGTGCCAGCACGGGCACGTCCACCCAAAAACAGCGGGCGCCGCCACGAGCCAGCCTAGCACGCCACCGGTTTCTCCTTCCTAAACCAAACGACGCAGCACCGTTGATCGATAGGCCACCCGGGCCCGTCGCGCTGGCAGGTGGGCCCGGGGCGCTGGGGGGACGGAGGCATCGAGATCGTCATGGGCCGGGCCTCGTGACCTCCGCCAGCCAGCCAGCCGCGTCGGTCGATACGCCCGATGCCGCGCCCACGTGCAAAGCCCGGCCCGCGCTATAAGACGGCCCCGCTAACTTCCTTCGACGCGCATCCAACCCCTCCTGCTGCTGCTGTGTTGCCCGTGTTGCCGCCCCGACCGCCGCCTCCACCACCCACCCACCCACACCGCGCCGGCCTCTTCCCCCTGTCCCGTCTCCCTCATGGCCTCCGCCGCCGCATCCGCCGTCTCCTTCGCCAGGCCCGTCAAGGTACCGCGCCACGTCCACCCGCTCCCCTCCCCCCTCCCTCCGTCCCCTCACGTCGTTCGATCTGCGACCGGTAGGGTTTAAGTGGCGGCGGGGTTTCAGAATCTGAGTGTTTGCGAGATTCGGTGCGGATCCGCTCTGGTCCGCCTGCCGTGGCTGGGATGGCTGGAGGCACCAGGTGCCGCCGATTCCGTAGCTTATATTCAGTCGAAACGTCCGTGGAGTTCGGCTCGATTGGATCTGGCACCGTACCATAGGGCTGAGTTTCGCGCTCCCTGTCCTAAGCCAATTGATCTGGGCGGTGCTACCACATTCATCGTGACATACATTTATAACCGCATGTGACCATATTTGTGCGCTTGTTGGATCGGATGTTTGGGAATTCTGTGCGGATTGTTCACTGGATTTTGTTGTGCCTGTAACCTTCTTTTCTTTATGTGATGTGATGCCATGATCGCGCTTACAGATCTTTATCAAAAAAGTTAGATAAATATAGAACTAGCGCTGTATGGTGCATGTAAAGTCTTCGTTTACTCATAAATCTGTAATGGCACGCCACCTTATCTAGTGGGCTGTTGTTTGCATTGCTTCATGGTAGCATGCCTTAAGGATTGCCCACTAAAGGCGTCTCACTTTATGTGAAAGATTCCCAGGTTTAGGTGATTGATACATAATCTCATAGGTTGCTTCACACTCAACTTGTATGCATGATGTGTAGCTCCGAGGATTCCTCGACTACATGATTCCGCTTTAAGCTATGCAGACAGAAGAAACATTCTATAGTAAAGTATGGGGGTTGTTGTTTAAACTGATGCTGTGTTCAATGAGAAAAAGTATATTTAATTCAGGCTGTGAACGTTTCTTAGGAGTTATGTCAGCACTTTGTTGAAACCAAATGGAAAACAATGGAATAGCCGAACAGGTCCTGTTTGACAGTTTTTTAACATAGCATTACTTAGGGATATACGTAACTGTTTTTGGTTACTATTTTGTACTCTGATTTCTGCTTTTCACTTTCAGTGAAGCAGCATTGATAATTTTATAATTTATTTATGCCTGAACACTATTTGATAGACTGATAGTCAACCAACCTACTTGACAGTTTTATGCAATGTGGCATTGTTTTTCCACTGTCAATTTGGTTTGCTATTCCCTAGTTCACTTATTTTTGCCTTGCTTACGAAATCATCTTCGGCGATTTACAGGCAATCAATGCCAACTCGGTCTCCTTCTCTGCTCCAAGGAAAGGCAATGTATCCTTCCGTCTTCAGCCAGTTCCCCAGAGATTTTCTGTTTCCTGTGCTGTAAGTATCATCCTTTTCTGGTATTGCAATCGTATCAATCATTAATTGATATATTAGTTAATGCACTTCAAATTTGTTTCCCTACCTATTTGATATGTCATTAGTTTCATATATGAAGGCAAAATCCTTTCTTTGGAATAATTAATCATGCATGCTATCTGAGGCTATTCATCTCAATCTATTTTATTCCAGTTTTATCATAAGTCCACAAACTACTACTGCATCATATAGAAAACCCTGTCGTGTTTCATCACAACAGTGCTTCCATTTTGTCTAAAAGTAATTTGGAGATAATTCCAGCAACGGTAGTTTCTTTTTGGTATCGTGCATTTTGCATGCTTGGCCTATAATTTGACTTAAGTAAGCGCCTCCTAGTCTACTTGTACCACATTGATTCAACCATAATATAACCCTGTAATTCCGATTTAATAGGCAGGTAAATTTACCATGCAATGTTTCTGAAAGCCTACTATGCATCATAGGGCTTTGTTGCTAGGATTCTAACTGCTTCATATTGGTGTTGTAATTTAACAGGCCAAAAAGGAGACAGTAGAAAAGGTTTGTGATATTGTGAAGAGCCAGCTTGCGCTTGCTGACGACACTGTAGTTTCTGGCTCCTCTACGTTTGCTGATCTTGGTGCCGATTCCTTGGACACGGTAAGTCAGCTGGATACTGTAATGTGTGTCACATGTTCATCCTAGCAACAGACCTAGCTGGCACCACCCAGTGGATATGATGTTGTTAAGTTTGTAACAGTGCATCATCCATCTAAACCCCCCTTATTTGGCCATAGTTTCTGTTTGTTATGCAACAACAACAAATAGTTTCTGTTTTAGAAGTATTTTGTGACTACGACTCGCTAGTACTAGTAAGTTGGAACCCAAGCCTGGGAATGTGTAGGTCTGTTCTCTTTTAGCAAAAGTTCCAGTGTGTCTGCGAGAACCACATTGTTCTGCCTTCTTCATTTTGATCCTTCGTAGCCGTTTTTGGCAGCAGTACTTTGTTACTGCAGTTTATGCTAACTTTTATCAACACTCCTTTGTGCATGAAAATAAGCACTCGAAATCATACTTTAAAGTTTGAGATTGCTCAGGTCCTAACTAGTGAAACTTTGTGTGGCTCTGTTGTGTAGGTTGAGATTGTCATGGGCCTCGAGGAGGCTTTCGGGATCAGCGTGGAGGAGTCGAGTGCGCAGACCATCGCAACGGTGGAAGACGCCGCCAACCTCATCGACAGCCTTGTTGCAAACTAAACATATTTCTTTGCAATAATGGGCTACCCACTGCAATCGTTGCTGCTGGAGATGATCCCGTTTGACGTGCTAGATTTTACTGTGGAGAGTCGGTGACATCTGTATCAGTGTTTTTGCCTGTCTTGCCATATTAAGACATTATTTATTAAGCGAATGTTGAAGGAATTTTTTCTTGTTGAAGCTGTGTTGGAGACTGATTTCAGGGTCTGAACATGCTGTGCTGGAATTAACTACCCCTGTCTTTCTTGGGTTCAAATCCACACCTTGTTTTCTAGAGCAGCCGATTGTTTATAGGTTGTTTTTGGTAAATTTTCAGTTCATGCTTTGCGATGTGAGAATTTAAACATTTTGACCGCTGCAATCACGATTATGTATTTATATCTGCTGCTCGTGCAAACTTTTCTGCTGTTTTGTATTATGATGAAACGCACTCCCCTGGTACTTGCTTTGGGAAAGGTTCTGTTCCGCATTTGGTTACCGTATGAATGTACGATGGACTCGCATTCGAACCTAATCGCGTGGTTAAACTAGCAGTGACTACAGTCATGGACTCATTATGGGGAATCTTTGGTCTACTCAGCCGTATTATCCACACACTAATCACAAGCAGCCTGGTTAGTGGTTACACCCTAGTGGTACTAGTAGTACAATCATCTGAGTGGTACTAGTTTTAAATTCTGCTAGTTTGGGCGGCATCCTTCTAGGTAGTATATGCTCCCCGACCCGATGAAGAAAAGGGTCATCATCGTGTCCGCCACGCGGCCGGGAGAAACGACGACGACGCACGAGCCTCATGCGTGCGCCCCTAGCCTCTCCCCTCGATGACCCAAAACAAAACAAAAAGATGCCGCCTGGATGCTCGATTAGCTGCGAGCATGAGTATTATTTCGTCTCTGCAGATGTGATTAGCGAGCTAGTCATCAGTGGATAAACACGCCTGCTAGTGCCAGCCATTTCTCTGTTGCCATGCCGGACTGTCACTGACGAGAAAAGTTTATTACTCCTTACACATGACACAGAATTTGCTGCACTGCGTCGAGCTGAGTGGCCCTGCAGCCGGAGAAATGTCATGCTCTGCCGCTGCCATGGTCGGAGGGAGGGAATTTAATCCCCCGACAGCGGCTCGCACGGGCTGCGTGCTTGCCCTGCTGCCGGCGCGACAGGCACCCCCGCAGGCCGCAGCCATCGATTGCTCTCACGAGCCCTGCCCTTTTGGCGCCTGCCCTGGCTGCTCGCTCGGGTCTATACATATAGCTCCACCACCCCGGCGCAAAGGCGAGCAAAAACCGCCCGAGCAGAAGAAAGCGTCGCGCCGTGCGTGCCTAGAGCGCAAACCACCGGGGAGCAGAGAGAATAGGCGGCAGGATTGATGGCGGAGGTGGAGAGGAAGGCGCCGCGGAGGGAGGAGGAGCTGGTGGAGGCGGCGCTGGCGGCCGCCGCGGCCGCGCTGTTCGTGTCCGGGGTCAAGAGCCTGGCGCCGGCCGTGCTCGTGGACCGCTGGTGGTGGCCCCTGCCCGCGCAGGTGCTCGCCGCGGCGCCGTCGCCCGTCCTCTTCCTGCTCCTCAACGTCCTCGTCGCCTGCATCGTCGTGGTGTCCCTGCAGCCCACCAAGCGACCCGCCGCGGCGTCGGCAACGGGCGGCGTCGCCGCGGAGGTGGCGCCGGCGGGCGACGGCGCGGCGAAGAAGCTGAAGAAGAGGCGGAGCAGCAAGAGGCGCGGGGCCGACGCCGAACCGGCGGCTCTCGCGCCACCCTACGTCGCGGCCGACCGCTGCATGGCGCTGGTGGTTGACCGCGGTGTCGTGGCGCCGACGGGCGGAGAAGAAGAAGAGGAAGGAGCCGCCGGCGACGCGGCGGAGGTGGACAGGCGCGCGGAGGAGTTCATCTCGGCGTTCCGGCACCGCCTCAGGGTCGACTCCTTCTCGTCTCGCCGCGGGGAGGCTGGCGACGCGGCGGCGCGAGCCATCAGCAGCACTGCGCCGTGCTTTTGACCCGAGCCAGCTGCGTCCTGCGTGCACCTCGCGGACACTGTTTTGTTCAAATTGCAGTCAGCTTCTTTCTTTCGCTTTCTTCTCGTTCTTCTTGTTGCTCTTTGATCTGAGCAAGTGATCTGTAGCTACCACTAGCACGTTGACATCAACTGGTTGGATGAATCTTCGAGCATGCTTGGCTGGTGCTCCGAAGAAATACGCATGCGAATCTGCAGACATTTCTTCTTGGATAATACTTCCAATAAAATACTAGTACAGGAATGCGTGTGCACATTCCAATAAGGCACTGAAACATATTCTTGGAGGCATCGTATCAGTATTTGAAATCCATTTGAAGAATCAAAAGTCACACAAAAAGTTGGAATGTTTCTCTGCAGTATCCTCTGAAACCCCGTGATTACCTTTTTTTTTTCTTCTTTCGAGAAATATACTCAGCGTTTTTTTTTCATTTTAACGGAAAGAGACATCAAAAGGGCCACAGCCCAGAAAGCCCGCCACATCTCCAAGGCCCAGGTTTTCGGGCCCAGGAACCCCAACGGCCCCGGTTCTAGAGCCTTCCTCTCTGCGACGCCGGAAATAAAAGGCGCCCCCCTTCCCCTTCCCCTCCATTCCATTCCACCCCACCCCACCACCACCCCCACTCGCCTCCGCTCCTAGGGTTTCCCGCCGCGCACCACCCCCAAAACCCTCGCCCCCCCTCCCCGGCGATCGGACCAATGGCGGCATCGGCGGCGGCGAAGAAGCTCACGCTCAAGAGCTCCGACGGCGAGGACTTCGAGGTGGAGGTGGCGGTGGCGATGGCGTCGCAGACCATCAAGCACATGGTGGAGGACGGCTGCGCCGAAAACATCATCCCGCTCCCCAACGTCAACGCCAAGGTCCTCTCCAAGGTCATCGAGTACTGCACGCAGCACGCCCCCAAGGCAGACGACGCCGCCACCGCCGACTCCGCCACCGCCGTCAAGCCCGACGAGGAGACGCTCAAGGCCTTCGACGCCGAATTCGTCAAGGTCGAGCAGGCGACTCTCTTCGACCTCATCCTGGTGAGCGACACTTCCGACCCCCCCTCCCCGTGTGCCGCTCCTTTTATGTACTCGTCGAGGGCTTGTGTTCCGGCTGTTTAGATGCGATTGCGTTGTGGTTTTGAGCGGCTGGTGCCTGGATTCGTGGTTCTAGGGTTTAGGGTTTTGTGTCGACGTCGGGTTACGAAATGGGAGGCATTGCGGGTTCTGTTCATCCGTTATGATTGGAGATTTGGAGTGGGTATTTTTTCCCTAGAAAAAAGGGGGATTATTGCCGTACTGTATACTTTTAGTTTTTCTTTGAAGGGTATTTGTCATATTTATGCAATCTATTGGATGGAACAACTGTTGTGTGGTGATTTGATGATATTAGTTGAGTGTCTGATGTGGTATGTTTTAGTTACGATGATACTTTTTCTGTGTTCAGTTCTGTGTTAAATAGTACTCCCTCCGTTCCAAAATAGATGACCCAACTTTGTACTAAAGTTAGTACTTTAGTATAAAGTTGAGTCATCTATTTTGGAACGGAGGGAGTACCATTTATTTTCTTGCTGTTTAGATGTAGCACTGCAATTCTGGTATTATGTATCTTTAGCATGATCTGTTTCAGATAAGAAAGGATGCCTGATATGAATTTCTGTGCAAGTGAAGGCATGCTCTGTTGTTGCAGCCAGCTGTTTTCTGTTTCCTCATTTAGATTACTCAGTCTGTGAGGAAAAAAAATGATTATCTGCATTGCATTGTTAAATGTTGTACTAGGAATCATAGTCACCTGACTTGCATTGCACTGTTAGGCACAGTAGGTTGGTAGGAAGCAATGCTTTGTGGTTGTCTGCAAGCCAGTAATAAGATATTAGTATGGTCCTAGTTGTAGCTTTGTGGCGGCCTTGTCGGGCATGGGCGGCGTTACTATTCAATGCTTGTTGCCTAATCTGACAAGAATGCTACTAGAATCTATGTCTGTTAAACTACTCTAGTATTTAGTATCTGACCTCCATCAGGCTGTAAAGCATGTGATGTTTATTTGTTGCTTTGTGGTGTTCTTTCTTGGGGATTAGTACCTTTGCAAGTCTTGTACATGGACACACTCAGAATGCTACTGTGGTTGATTCATTGTTCTTTAGCTTTGTAGTATGTGTATCCCTTTGTTTTTTATACACTTCTGTATATAATATTAACTCCGTCCCAAATTAGTTGTCCAACCAATTTGGGAGGAGGGAGCATAATATATCCTCCTTTACTGCTCAATAGTTGGTAGGTTTGTTGTAAATAGTTGTTCTGGGTTATGCACCTTGCTGAATTTTAATTCGTGTGCACTGTATTTGTATCCAACTGTGTAAATTTGTAATATACTGTGTCAGTTGTGGTCTTGTCTCTAGACTCTAGTAGCACAACCTCAAGACATAATCCTTCTGTCCCCAAAATATATGGTGTTTAAATTCAGTCGAAAAGTCATTTCTTTCTAAGTTTGACCAAATATGTAGGAGAAAATATCAACAACTACAGTATTGAATAAATATATTATGAAAGTATATCTAGTGGTGGATATATTGATATTATATTTGGTTTGACATTATTTATGTTCATATTTCTGTACATAATCTGCCATCTATTTTGGGGACAGAGTATTGCTACTTTCTTTCTTAAGCATGAAGTTTGCTTACATGATTTATTGCAACTGTCCCGCTTAAATATGAACTGCAAGTTCTTTCATTGTGTGCCTGTTGCAATAATCTGCTGTATATGATGCTCCTGTTCTTTATCTGTTAAGTATGTGCCCGACCTTACTGTTCCTAGTTGGTAGGCTGTTGTAAATAGTTGTTTTGTGTTATCCACCTTGCTTAATTATATTTCTTCCATGTATTGGTGTTCGTCTGTGTGTAAGCATGGAGTATATGGCAGTTGTGTTTGTTCTTGCTACCATCATGGACAACTTAACCTTGGTAGTACTTGATGCTGTCTAGTTTAAATACGAGTTTTTGCTTCCT